AACTAAAGGAGAGATTATTCTACCGGTAAACGTGGCTAGAACCATTCAAGATACTAAGTTCCACGTGATCGAGGGCGACATGAGGTACAATGCCCTACTCAGAAGGCCTTGGATCCACAATATGAGAGCAGTCCCTTCGACTCTCCACCAAATAATAAAATTTTCGACATCAGACGGTGTAAAAACAGTATACGGGGAGCAGCATACTGCAAAGGAAATGTTTGTGGTCGATGAGGTAACACCGATATCGACACTATCATCCTCGCAAAGGTCGAACATCAAAGATAAACAGGAAGTCAAATAGCAATCACAGCAACCAGCCTCGACCGAATCGGGGAAGCGGGAGATAGAAGAAAAAGATGAGGATTTTCTGACCCCTCGAACTTTTGTTGTTCCCGAAGATACTGACGTCACCAAATCAACGGTCGAAGAGCTGGAACTGTATTGATCGAGTACCTGCCCAAGCGAAAGGTATACCTGGGAACGGGATTAACCCACAAACTCAAGAAAAAACTTATTCAATTTCTTGTTGATAACATAGAATTTTTTGCGTGGTCCCATTTAGATATGACAGGGATTCCACCGGAGGTAACGACATATCAGCTAAGCCTGGACCCTAGATTAAAATCGGTGAAGCAAAATAGAAGACCCCAGTCCGAAGTAAAGCATGATTTCATAAAGGACGAGGTAACTAAACTTCTCAAAACAGGATCCATTCGGGAGGTAAAATATCCCGAATGGTTAGCCAATGTAGTTGTAGTCCTTAAAAAGGGGAATAAACTTAGAATGTGTGTAGATTATAAGGATTTAAATAAGGCATGCCCCAAAAATTCTTTTCCACTGCCTAACATCGATCGCATGATCGATGCCACGACCGGTCACGAGATCCTTACTTTTTTCGATGCCTATTCCGGGTACAATCAAATCCAAATGAAGCCGGAAGACCAAGAAAAGACTTCATTTATCACCAAGTATGGAATATATTGTTATAATGCAATGCCCTTCGGGCTAAAAAATGCAGGAGCTAATTACCAATGCCTAGTGAATAAAATGTTCGAAGAACAAATAGGTAAATCAATGGAGGTTTATATTGATGACATGCTAATTAAGTCCCTGTGCGCAGAGGATCATTTGGCTCATTTGCAGGAAACGTTCGAGATTTTAAGGAAATACAACATGAAGCTCAATCCCGAGAAATGTGCTTTCGGGGTTGGTTCGGGCAAGTTCCTTGGCTTCATGGTATCGAATCGGGGAATCGAGATCAACCCCGATAAAATCAAGGCCATCGAAGACATCGCCATCGTGGATAGTGTAAAAGACATATAGAGGCTAACTGGGCGGATAGCTGCCTTAGGCTGATTCATTTCGAGGTCATCGGATCGAAGCCACAGATTTTTCTCTTTACTCAAAAAGAAGAACGATTTCACCTGGACCCCGAAATGCTAACAGGCATTGGAAGAGTTGAAGCGATACCTATCGAGCCCACCACTGCTTCACACTCCAAAGGCAGATGAGAAGCTTTACTTGTACTTGGCAGTACCGAAAATTGCGGTAAGTGGTGTCCTAGTTCAAGAAGAGCAAGGTACGCAATTTCTCGTTTATTATGTAAGTCAAACCTTAAGAGAAGCAGAAACTAGATATCCACACTTAGAAAAATTAGCACTTGCACTGATTAGCTCCTCTAGAAAGTTAAGACCATACTTTCAATGTCACCCAGTATGCGTACTAACCACTTACCCACTTCGTAATATTTTGCACAAGCTCGAACTATCGGGTCGATTGGCCAAATGGGTCGTCGAACTCAGTGGGTACGACATCGAATATCAACCTTGGACGACCATCAAGTCTCAAATTTTAGCGGACTTCGTGGCCGATTTCACGACAACCCAAGTACTCGAAGTTGAAAAGGAACTCTTGTTAAAATTGGGTACGTCATGGGGGGAATGGAACCTTTTCATAGACGGTGCTTCAAATGTGAAGGGGTGCGGGCTTGGCATCATTTTGAAGCCGCCCACGGGTAGCACTATTAGGCAATCTATCAAAACTTCTAGGTTGACTAACAATGAGGCCGAGTACGAGGCCATGATTGCAGGTCTCGAGCTAGCTAAAAGCTTGGGGGCAGAAGTCATTGAAGCCAAATGTGACTCTTTACTTGTGGTGAACCAAGTAAACAAAACCTTCGAAGTTCGAGAGGATAGAATGCAAAGGTATTTGGACAAGCTGCGGGAAACTTTGCACCGTTTCAAGGAATGGACTTTACAGCATGTACCTCGAGAACAAAACAGTGAGGCCGATGCACTTGCAAACTTGGGGTCATCGATCGAGGAAGATAAGATCAGCTCGGGGACTGTCGTTCAACTCTCGAGATCTGTGATCGAGGAAGGTCATGTCGAGATAAACTCTACAAGCTTAACCTAGGATTGGAGGAATAAATATATTGAATACCTGAAAAATGGAAAGCTCCCATCAGACCCTAAAAGAGTCGAGAACCTTACAAACCAAAGTTGCTCGATTCACATTGGCTGAAGATGGAACATTATACAGAAAAACATTCGATGGACCATTGGCAGTGTGCTTAGGACCAGGAGGCACCGATCATGTTTTACGAGAGGTCCATGAAGGCACTTGTGCGAACCACTCCGGCGCCGAATCACTGATTCACAAAATCATTAGAGCAGGATACTACTGGGATAGCNCACTTCATCTGGATCACATCGTATATCGATTTGGGATACCCGCAGAAATAGTATGCAACAATGGTAAATAATTTATCGGCAGTAAAGTGACAAAATTTCTCGAAGATCATAAAATAAAAAGGATATTGTCAACACCGTATCACCCTAGTGGGAACGGACAGGCCGAATCGACGAACTAGACTATCATCCAAAACCTGAAGAAAAGGTTGAACGAAGCTAAAAGGAAGTGGAGAGAAATTCTACCGGAAGTCCTTTGGGCATATCGAACAACATCGAAGTCCAGTACATGGGCAACTCCATTTTCCTTAGTATATGGCTCTGAAGCTTTGATTCTAGTCAAAGTCGGAGAACCCAGCGCCAAGTTTCGACATGCAACAGAGGAATCGAACTATGAGGCTATGAATACTAGCCTCGAATTATTAGATGAAAAAAGAGAAGCTGCACTCGTTCGAATGGCTGCACAAAAGCAACAAATCGAAAGGTACTACAATAGAAGAACCAACCTTCGCCACTTCAGGGTCGGGGACTTAGTCCTAAGGAAGGTCACCATCAATACTCGAGATCCTAATGAAGGTAAGCTCGGTCCAAATTGGGAAGGACCCTATCAAGTCCTCGATATAGTTGGAAAAGGGTCTTATAAACTCGGAACAATAGACGGCGAACCACTGTCAAGCAACTGGAAATTATCACTTCTCAAACGATATTATTATTAAGGTATGACTTTCTCACTTCTTTCGTTTATATATATTCAATGCTAACTCATTGCAGGAGTTCGAGCAAAGACATCGAGACTTCGGGTTTTAAAGTACGACGTTGCACTCTTTTTTCCTTAGATCGATTTTTATCCCAAATGGGTTTTTCCGGAGAGGTTTTAACGAGGCAACAATTATGTGCTACTTAAGGACAATTCAACAGTATCCAAGGCTTCTTTGCAATCAACCTTGAATACTGGAGGGCATCACCCTCAGATGTTGTATTCTTGAGAATAGTACTTCATATCAAAGGGCCTCGATAGGGAAGCTTTGTAATGGGCCAAACAGTCAAGTGAACCATGTCCATATAAACTAGTCGAGCCCCAAAGGCAAAATATGTGCGCAAGTATAAACTATTCAAAGAAGCATTCTCTCTTCATTTAAACATTTTGTGTCTCGAAAAAAATTCTCTACTATACAAACCTCATGCTTATGATATTGTGAGAAACGGTTCAAGAGCCAAAGTGCAAATATACACTCGGAGACTACCATCGATGATAGGCATATTCGAGTTATCTAAACTCAAATTAATAAGATCTCAAAGGGGCACCCCTCGATCTATAGGCCAAGGCCACCATTCTCGAGGACTGACATTTAAAACTAGTTCGAAATGCTATTGGGAAATAAGCCCAAGAGGCATACCCGAAGGCTATGGACAAAATACATACCCGAAGGCTACGGCTAAACTAAAGGCTACGGCCTAAATAACGCGGCTCGGAGACGTCTGAATTCCGCAATAACGATAGGCCTTCAAATTCTCTGAAAAATCGGTTAAAAAAGGCTACCCTCGGCAAATAATCAAAAGGGTTCCGATAAAATCAGCCCTCGGAAAATCTTAAGATGTATCAAATTATCTTTAACACAAACGTGTTAAGGCACAAAAAGCAAAAGGGTTTCAACTAACATCGGACCCTCAAAAAACCCAATGGGTAAAAAAAATACATGCTAAGGCATAAAGAAATTTTTACTAAGTCTTTTAAGCCGAAAGGGGGAAATAATATCCGTCTTTTAGAGGCCATATGGGCCCAACCTAAAAGGGCCCAAGGGCCAATACATTTAGAGTTCGAGACTTTGTTCTCACTCAACTCGGACCTAAGGGTTTCACTATTCCGAGTTCAAATAAAGTTGACTTTAATTTAGCTCAAGGATCCGCCATAAAACCTTAAGGGGTATGTTACTATAAGTTCGAAAATTACCCATTATTTAATAAAAAACCTAAGAGTTTGCTCTATTATAAATTTGAAACATACTCGAACTTAGTTATAAAAACAGTGCAGTCATGGCATCGATCAAGCCATCCGAAATTTCGAACATATTATTGAGCCCTGGGACTCGCCCTTGCGCGTCTAAAAACCTAAGGGTTTATTCTAAAGATCGAATTAGTGTTCACTCGATTACAGAGGCTGCAACAATAAAATTTTCACAAGGCAAAAGCATAAAATACGTTTGAACATAAAATTGAGAAGACATTCATAAGAAGTTTTTCTATTATATATCGATAAAAAATATTATGTACAAAAGACCGATCAAGGTCTTACAAAGAGAGAAATTAAGCCCTAACTACGGTCGGTTTCGACCTCTTCTCCGGGAGCAACTTACTCTTTAGGCCCCTCATTGGATCCGCCTCAACTGCCTTCTTCATCATCGTCTTCGTCATCGAAGGAGGCAAGCTGCCTGGATTCAACTTCAAACACCTTGGCTCGGGCTATCTCCTCGGAGAGGTCAAAACCTCGAGTATGGATTTCTTCGAGGGTTTCCCTCCAGGATTGACACTTTGCCGAGTCAAGGATCCATTACTCTCGGTTAGAAGCCTCCCTTAGCTGCATTTGAGTAGCCTCAGTATCGGCCCGGTACATGGCAATGGACTTGTCTGCCATGACCTTTGTCTTCTCGATCTCCGCCTTGGCCTCAGCAAGCCCGGTTTTAAGCTCTTCTATCCTCTTGGCTTGGGCTGAAATTTTCTCTTTGATGCACCGAAGTTGAACCTCGGCCGATGACAGTTTGGCCAAGGTAGTTTCTTTTTTCGCAGCCAGGCGGTCCATATTCTCCTTTCGCCGATCACAATCGGCCTTTACCTAATCGACTTCTCCCCGAAGCAGCTCGATCCTTTCAACTTTTTGCTGCAGCTGAGATAATGAAGTATTAGCCTCCACAGTTGGGTCAAGTTCGTACTTTATCAAAAGGATGCTCACCTGCTTATCTAGCTCAGCCTTTTCCTCGCGAGCCTTGGCCAAATCCGCTTGAAGGTCCTTTATAGTTTCATCTTTTTGGCAGCAAAGAAGCTTCAGAGCATTCCTCTCCTTCGAGACCTTTTGGAGCTCGGTTTCACACTGGCTAAGGTCAGCTCGAAACTTGGCGAAGACCTATACAAAAAAGGAAAACACAAGTCAAATTTAGAGAAAAAGAAAAAAAAAAGTAAAGAAAAGAAGTGCAGTAAACTGATTCTTACACGAGATAAGAGACGTTGGGCCTCTTCTAAAAGAATAGAAGCGCTACTGATATCAGAGGCATCATCGACTCCAGTAAAGCAATCCTGAAAGGGATCCCCTACACTAGAGACTCCGCCTATATCATGGGTCTTCAACTCTCGAGCTCCACTTATGCCTCCTCAGAAAAAGTCGGAAGAGAAGGCAAGTGACTTGTTGTCATGGTCCCGAGCAAGTAGCTCGGGACGCTCTGATCGATCTTCGGGGTCTCAGAACTGGCCCCGTCCGGTGTAGTTGCAAATGGCCGAGAAACGATCTCGACCTCTGGTAATTTGGGATCCTCACTCGATTTCTTTTTGGAAGCCTCCTCGACATGAGGCTTGATTTTAGCAGCCGCCATCGGCTCAGAAGGTTTGGTAAACTCGACGGCTTTCCTAGGTCAGACCGTCAGTGCCGAGGCATTTTCCTCTTCTTTGTCTCTTAGTTTTTGAACCGAGTCCATCGTGAGAGCGATTACTTTCCTCCTCACCCTTCGAGGTTTGGGCTTGGGGTCCTCGGACTGCAAGGCAGTTTTCCTCTTCTTGTCTTCCCCCGGCTTCGGAACCGGGGACTTGGTTTCTTCCCCGCCACTTGAAGGCCTCAAAATGGCATCCTTGGTCAGGCCTGCATGAAAGAAAATTAGTGACGAATGAAGTATAAAAAGTGTTTCAGAACATGAAAAAGGAGATCCTTACCGTGGTTCTTGGCCTCTCATCTGCCCTTTGCCAAATCACGCCACACGCGTTCGGCATAAGTGGAAGTTGAGGCTAACTTCCGAACCTAATCTTCGAGGTCAGGTACCGCTTGAGGAATCCAAGGAATAGCTGCATGTCGAAAGGGGATATCAAGCGAAGTCGAAGAAGGTACGAAGAACAAAGTTTAAAAGATCACTTACGGTCGAAGTTTCACTCCTCAGGGAACGACATCTTCTCTTCCGGGATAATATCACGGGTCTTCACCTATATAAACGGCTCATCCAACCCCGATCCTTGTCCTCGTCGATGCTCGAGATCAAGGCCTTCGTTGCCCGGCGTTGGAGCCCGATTAGTCCTCGGTAGATTCGAGGCCGGTACAACCGCATGAGGTGATTTAGAGTAAACTCTAGCACCTCGGCCTTGCTAGAGAAGAAGCGCAGCATGATTACTATGCGCCATAGAGAGGGGTGAATTTGGCCGAGGGTGACCTGATATCTTTTACAGAGATCAATAACCACTGGGTCGAGGGGACCCAATGTGAAGGGGTAAGTGTAAACACTTAGGAACCCCTCCACATAAGCGGCAATGCTCTCTTTGGGAGCAGGAATTTGCACCACGACCTCAGGACCCCAGTTGCAGTCCCTCTTCGCGGCCTCGAGGTGGCTCTTCGATATCGAGCACATGTACATCGACACATGCTCACATCGGCCCGGAATCGATGAAAGGTTTTCGACCTTGAAGTCGGATTTTAGAGTACATGGGCTAGGAACATATTCGTGGGGAAGCGGCTCCACCGGCGCCTTGCCGCCGGATGGCCGGGAAGAGGAGAAAGTTCTTTCTCCTTCTGCGGTACGGTCTTTGAGGTTTTTGCCATTTGTATAAGTAAAGAAGAGCGAAGGAAGATGAAAAACTGGTGCTTTCAGTGCTAACGAAGGTGGCTCTATGGACGGCGAAAAGGAGGAGACGAAAAGAGTGAGAATACTTAGAGGTTTGATTAGAGCAAAAGTAAAGTTTGATTCAATGAAGGAGAGAATATTTATAGGTTCACGGCGACGGTTCGGTGGCATTAGTGGTCGACCGCTAACTGACAGGCATTAATGATTTGGGGAACTGAACTGACGGGACGTTTCGATCACATCTGTCACTTACGTCATAAGGACGACGTCATGATCGAGGTTTAGAAAAATCAAGGCTCAAACCGTTTCTTATCATTTTATTCCAAGAAACGCGGGGACTATCTGTATACTGTCGAAATAGGGCATGTCAGATTTCATAGGCACGAGTAGCTGCCTCGAGAGTAAGCTCGTAATAGACCAGGCTCGAGCTCAATGGCAGAGTATGGAGCATGAAGATCGAAGTGTTCGCTGAAGATCGAGACCCAGTCTGACCGACTTCGAGCAAGGCATAATAACGGAATGACGAAATATTAGCAACCGACCGAAGATCTCGGCGGAAATCCCGGAACAGATCGAATCAAGCGGTTATTGATGCCAATCATGGGATTTTTTCCGTTATTAGAATTGTACCTTATTTAGGATTCCTCTACTATATAAAGAGGGACCCCATTTATTTGTAGGGAGGATTGATTCACTGAAAAACATATACAAAAACGTTGATCTCTATTTCACTTGCTATCCATTACTGTTCATTATTGTTTATTTTCTGTTCTTTATTGTTCTTCTTACCCAACCTCGAGACCATCCCGAATCGAGGTCGAAAGCACCGCTAGAACACTGGTTTGATCTATTTTACTATTCAGATTATCTATTCAATTCCTTGTTTATCAATTGGTATTGGATTAAATCACGTATCCTTAAAACACTAAATAAGTTTAATTGTTACTCGAATTTTAGGATAAACAGAAATACTTCCGGCCATCGCTTGGTGTGGCGGTTTGGAGGAGACGGCTGCAAGAAATATGAAGAAAAGTATAAACAGATCATTGTTCTTTTCTTACTTTTGATATTTTTGGATACTCCAATTGTTAGTGAATTGAATCGAAATGATACTAATTGGTAATTGGAAAAAGAAATCATTCAAGGAGAGGAAGAGAGACTAACCCAATAGTAAGACGATTTTGGGAATAGCCAGTGAAGTAGAAATATCGAGGAGTGGACTGTGGAGATCTGCCTTCTGTGCTTTTGTGAATCGAGTGCTGGTTATTTCCTAAGAAGTGAAAAGGTTTTAGCGTTTAGGCTTTCTAAGTTCTAATAGATATATTTTATATACATAGGGGTAGAAATCAGGCCGGCTCTAACCTTATTTCAAGTAAGGCGTTTGTGTTAGGCCCCAAAATTTTGGGCCCCCATTTTTTTTTAAAATAATAGGTTTATAGGGAGTAGGGACTTAAAAAAATACTTCAGTATTTAGTATTTTTCATACAAAAGTAGAATTTTTTGTAACAGTTGATTCAAAGAAAAAAAGTTTTTCAAGATTATAATTGATAAAATCTTACCTGAGATTAACAATATTTCAAGATAGATTAAATGAGTTGGCTATATTATTAATTGAAAAGGAATTATTAGAGGAAATCGATTATAAAAAAATTATTAACAACTTTGCATCGCGAAAATATAGAAAAATAGACTTCAAATAAATATATATATCATAATTTTCTTTTAAAAATTTATGTCTCACATTAAATTTTGGCTTTAGACCACACATGTATTTGAGCCGCCCCTCGTAGAAATATAAATATAGTCATTCTAACAATTTATCCGATAAGAAAATTGAGTAATTCCCTCGCACCGTTAAACCGTTAACTATAAGATTTCAATCCATTTCACTAACCATTAATCCGATAACCGGATACCGATAAGTCGATAAGCCAATTTTACGATTGAGCGTACGGTCACGATTAGATTTTGAACGACCCTAGTTCGATACATTACTCTAAGGGAATCGGTTAATCAATTCTAAGCTGAGGTCTAGTAAAAAACCAACCTTATGGTTAAAAATGCAAGAACTCGACTTTCTTCATTTCAACTTTAAGATGATTTTAGCCGCTATTACTCTTATTTCTTCCGTAAGTGAACAATTAATGACGAAATGCCTTCTTAGGATCGCTCAACTTGTGAAAAAGTTACACTATGATTATAATTTGAAAATTATAATTTAGAGATAAAATAATAATGAGATGGTTTAGACCAGTGTTTTAAAAGCCGTTATTGGGGCGAGCCCTGGGACTAAGCGCATCAAAAATGCCCCGAGGCGATGGTGTGGGACGAAAGTCTCAAGAGTCGTACGCCCGTGCGTTTGAGGGGCGTTTTTGTATTGAGGCGTAAGCCCCATAGACTTTTTCAAATTAAAACAAAATTTATTGAATAAGTCCATTATATAATACCCAAATTCTCAAAAGTTTTAAAAAAGAACTGAAATGTATTAAATTTAAAAGTCAATACCTTTTTTTTTATTAATTGAAGCTCTAATTTATAGTCTTTTTATTGGTTGAAGCCCTAATTTATAGTCTTTCCCAATTCTTTATCTTGTCAGCTAGTCTGCCAATATCACCCAAAAGCAACGAATATTCAAATTGTTTTTACAAATATAAAGATAGTTACATTCTCCTTCATAGCAGCAAGTTCAAAGTTCAAATTGTAGGTTAGTTATCCTTTTTGTTCCTCCATGTAGAAAACTTTTTTCTTTTCGACTCAAGTTACTTGTGATTGTAAGTAGCATATAATAGATTGTTTTGATTATTTTTCTCTCTCTCTCGCGCGCGCGCGCGCACGCGCGCACACACACACACACACACACACACACACACACACATATATATATATATATATATATATATATAGTTTTTTAAAAATTTTATGCGATTTTATTTGTTTATAAATATTTACTGTAATAATATTATTTTATAAAATATTAAAAATTAAATACCTATGGAGCTTACGCCCCGTGCCTCGGGGATTAAGCCTCGCCGAGGCATATGTAAAACGCATCGTCTTATGCCCACGCCTTTTAAAACATTGGTTTAGACGATACATACTTTTGCGGGTAGATGTTTTGTTTTTGGATAAAAACCAAATATACGGGATATGATATGAACAACCATTAAGTTTAGGGAATTTCTTATTAAACCTGGCCTGGTCCTAATTAGTCCCTGTCCAACAAGCAATGAAATAAGAAATTTTGACTGCCCTCTATAGTATCTTGAGGGAGGTTAAGGTAGCAGTAGCAGTAGCAGCAGCAGCAGCAGCAGCAGAATTCTGTAGCATTTAACCTCTAGATTCTGAAGAGAGGTACATGCACTAAATATGAATAGTTAAGTGAAGCAGCTTGGGCAGATCAGAGATGCATTGTTAGATTCTGTAAAATGGCAAACATCCTGACCAGCAGTTTATACTTCTGCTTTCTTCAGTACATTATGATAATTCTTACGATAAGTTTATTTTTTGCAAGGTTATTCACTAATCCTACATGTGACCAAGTTTTTACATGCATGCGTATATAGAATGTATCTCCCTTCTTCAAAATCATCAGTGATCAGTGTGATGACTAGTGGTGGAAAGTAATAGATTACCACTCTCCTATATACTCAGCTGAAAAGCCATTCAATACCGTGACGGATCTAGGATTTGAAGTTGGCAGGTGCCATAATTTCCTTTAATATATACTTTGTAATGACTAATATGAAATTTGTTAGGAACGTTTATTCGATTTTTTTGAGTTGATTCAGGTCAACCTAATAGGTATTTTTTATTTGAATATTTGAAAATTATATCTCAAATATAAAAAAAACAAACGTGATTAGAATTTTAAAATAGAATCACACCTTATTATAACAACACAAGTAAAATCAACATTTTCACTGAAAAATTACATCTTTCTGTATTTAAAAATTAATTTACGCAAGATAACATCTTCAAAAAGAGAATTACATCAATCAGAATAAGAAAATTTAAAAAAATATTGTCCATAAATAAATTATACCCCATAAGCATAAATTAGATAAACTACAATTTTTCATAAATCAAAATCATAAATTACATATTTTTTAAGCAATGCTTACAAAATTATAGTAAAGTGATTTAAATAATATCTAACAACTATCGCATAACACAAATTTTTATGATATAATAAAAAAGATGAAAAAAATTTGATCTCAATCCAAAATTTTCATTAAGACACAAGTTTTTCGGATTTGAAAGAAGAAAACTCATATTAGAGGATTGCTTATTTTATATAATTTTAAAGTTTAGGAGTTTCTTTTTTGAGTGTTCTTGCTAAAGATCACATACAAAATAATAGAATAGAGAAGAAAAACATAAAAATATAATAAAACAACAAATAGAAACTTCGATGGCAGCCGAAAAAGGGAAATGTCTAGGACAAAAAGAAATATAAGAACAAAGCAAAGAGAAAGTCAGACGAGGTTCAAGAAAAATTCAACTTAGAATTTTACGCACGAGAAAAGCTTTCAAAAATGTCAACCAGTCATGGGACCTTTGTCTAGTTTACGGTTGCGGATGGCAAGATCAGATAATTAACCTAATTTAAGAAAATCTCAACATAGGAATATAAATTTTTTATCATTTTACCGGGTGCCATGCCACCCCTTCTTAAAGGGGTGGATCCGCCCCTGATCACACAAGGTAGGGGTAAATTTCACATACACCCCATCCTCCTCAAACATCACGAGATTACACTAGATATGTTGTTGCTGTTGAAAGTGTGAATATAGCACAGGTTATATGAGGAGATATTCCATCGTTCCAGAGGGCTATGAGGAAACCCTGGGCCGATGAAAAAGCATTTAACCACGCCTTATTTCTTTCTTTCTGGATAAGTAACAGCATTTGAACACACCTTAATTAAAGGCAAGAAAAACTTGCCTGTACGTGAATGCAGACGAAGAATATCTTGCCTGTACTCAAAAGCATTATGAATCCCATTCAAGACAAAGGAACTCAGCTTCAGAAAGAAAAGAATGATTCTACCCTAAGATAATTACAGCAACCACACACTTTCTCTGCCTCGATTGCACCTATAAACCATTCCAGAGAACTCACCTCAAAGCCAGTTACTGGCTCCGTCTAAGACCATGCGACCCTTAACCCTCCTTGGAGGAACAAAATTGGGAGCTAGGTTGTAGAGTAAAAGTGTGTCTCCGGTTTCATAAATGCAGTAAATATGCTGCTGCGTAAAGCACCATCCACATTATGTTACAAGCAAGCTGCAGTGTAGACTGCAGAGTACCAAACCAACAATTAGAGAGCTCAAGAAAGTACGAACATCATGGGAATACTGTGAATGACAGCCAGATGCCGTTGAGTCTGATGATGGAGCATGCGAAGAGCTATTTGTGAAGGTACCATTTCTCCCTCCACTATATGAAAATTGAAAAGAGACGAAGCATAAGTAATCAAGAGGGTAATACTAGAGCAAGAAAAACAAGCTTTGAGACTAGGAACAAGGCAACAGTAATTGCAGATAATTAACTAACCAAATAGACAAAGATGATTTAGAATGACTGATTAATAGCTGATAAAAAAAACTAAAGCCATACCTTCCTGGATATATACAAGACCCATTACCTGCAACAGGAAAACAAATATTAGGCCTCAGTAATCATGTAAAATCACAACAGTGTCCCCAAAGCAATAGCCAGAAAATGTTTATGCAAGCTTATTCTTGAAAGAAAGAGCGACAAGTATTTCATAATGCAAATTAATAGCTTAAATAACCATGGTGATCTTATTTCGAGGAAAAGAATATTGCTTTTACTAAAGTTTTTCTAACACAGGGAAAGGTTTTGCTATTGAGTTCTTCAATTCTCTGCTATGCCTGTGTGCATTACAAGCTGAAGAGACTACATCTCTGCATTTCGGAAGCGCCAAACAAATCAAAAAATTTACAAAGACTAGTCACTAGGCAAACAACCAGTTCATAAGCTTGTGATTTCATTCATTCTTTTCGCTAATTTTCCTGATTGACATATAAATTTTCCAAAATCTTTGTAGCAAACTGAATAATTAATCTGAAAATTGAATCTCAAACTTCCAGAATTTCATGACACTTTTTATAGTTTCTGGTAGCATTCCGATTGGACAAGACCATTTTTGGTGTTGGATCTTAGATTCAATTCAAAGTTTCAGGTCAGAAAATTCATGTAAGATGAGTATTCACGTAAAACATAGTTTTGACTACTTACTAGGATCAGTCGTACT